AACTTCGACAAATTCGTGATTTAGTGCGACCTCAACCAATTTCGTTAGTGAGACATCCATCCGCACACTTGACTGGTTGGACATCACTGGTCACGACTCCTCACTAGAACTCCAGGAAACTCCGTCCTGCTACAAGTCACTACTGAGCATCAGATTAGTTTTCATGAGTTGGTTTGTAAGGATTGGAGCTCGCCTTGTAACCAGAAGGACCTAGGTTTGAATCCCAGTGAGTGAGTGCTGCTGAAGAGTACCAAACTAGGACTGGAGAAATAGCTGTCCAGTACTCCCAGGTTTTCCAATGGTTCTTTAACTAATGTCAGCTCATGATGAAATCCTGAAACCAATCAAATCCCTACAAATCAACACTTGATTAGATTTGTTTTCACGAGTTCAACTTACTCTGCCGATGGTTCCCAAACTGGGATAAAACAGCAGCTGTCCAGTACTCCCTGGCTGGTTTTCAATGTTTCTCTAACTGATATCAATCCGTTGGTCAAACTTGTAAAAACAAATTTAATCCTTATAAACCAACTCTTGAAAATGATTATGAGTGGCGATAATTTGTGTTTGGAATGTGGTCATCAGTTAATATTACTGTATAACAACACTGTGTGATTTTATCAAAATTAAAATTTTATCCACTATGGAATCGTACTTTCACTTAACTCATAATGAAACCTAGTTTAATCACCAACATCATCTAACCAAGTGTTATTCATCAGTACGTCTTATTATTTGGCCGAAAGAGACTAGCTGTGGAATCCAAGTCGAAAATTTCGTCCTATTCGGGAATCGTCAATGAAAACAGCATCACTCACTGGGGAATGCAGGTACATCTAGTTAGCTGGCAAGTTCTATTTACTGCATTGTATAGATTGTCAGGTCAAATACATAGGTCAGGGTGGTAGGACAGAATTAGCCAGACTAGCGAAGCATAAAAACGTACCTAAATCTGGTTTAGTTAACCTAAATAAGATTAGAAATCTGAAGAATAGTTCAGCAATAATACGTACTATATGCAATTACACACAGTCATACAATAAGATGATGGGATAAGGTGACACTTTTAAAATCTAATATAGAAGGGTGAAGGGAGAAATCGATAACGGAAGCTTTATTCATCATCGAATCAACTGAGAGGGAATACGTGTAAATAGGAATGATTCAACACCTTTCGATTCAGAAATTTGGAAAATTCTACTACCCCTACGATGGATAGGAAAGAATAAAGCAACTATAAGACAGAAGTTTCGAAGTTGTGTGGTTATAAATGATTGGTAAGATTAAGAAACAGCAATAAGTTATGTTCGCACTTTGTGGTAAATGGCAGTACTGTTTCGCACTGTGTGTGGTATATCTAATAAACAAATTAATTTGGAATTACTTGTGTTCTAGATTTCAAGAATTACCCAAACGTTACATTTATTTCATTAAAAGTTCGATTGCTTACTGTCATCCCAGATTATTTAGAAAAAGCCGATACACTGAATAACTGTTTCCTCCTAATTTGAAACTCTTCAGAAGTACGAATTCATATGTCATCGGGTTTCAGTCCAATGTTTGAATAATAAATATCATCTGAAGGTTCTGGATTGTATTTTTGTTGAGATTATGAGTGAAATGCTGATGAAGAGTGGAAAACTAAGATGGAGAAAAATACCTAAGGCTTTTTAATTGTCAATAATTCCCTGAATAATTTCTATCCATACTGAAATGTGGTTGCAGACCTTTATCAACAACTGAGTGTCTTCGCTGAATCTATACCGAAGATCAGATGACCAAGCCGGAAAGAATCACCAACAGGAAACTGGGGGAACAAAGAAAACAAAACAAGAACAAACCAATCGCCAACCAACAAATATGCAGGATAAAGTGGAGATGGATAGGACAGTCGCTGAGGAGACAGCTGGGTGACATCGTACGCGCGTCAGACCATTGCTCGAGTAGAACCAGACCAAAAGGGAAGCGGCGAGTGGGACGTCAGTGCAAGGGTGACATGGAGGAGATCGTGTGAAGAGGAGTTGAAAGAGTATGAACTAACATGGATGGATGGAGGTGAAAAGTATAGCAGCAGAAGAGAGAAGCAAGTGGAGACGTGCATTTGAAGCCCTATGTTCCACTAGGAACCCAAGGGAACAATAATGATAAATAATAATACTGAAATGTACATTAAGATAAATCAAGATCTCGACAAGCCCCAAAATTCTGAAGTCAGTTTTAATCTGACTTGTCTTTAGTAATAATAAGTAGTTAGTACATTCATTAATGTGAGCTTTTACCTCAATGGTAGAATGATTGCCAACCATGCAAATGGTCAAAGTCCGATTCGTGGCCGACAAACTCCTAAACCTCTGTTGGCCGGTAGTAAATCCGGTAAAAACAGAAGGTTGATCGTGAGGGTATAAATTCCCCCTAACTCCGTTTCGTATAAAACAACCCCATGGGCACAGCAACTTCAGACCCGAACCTCAAAGCCTTATGTTCTACCCGGAAGGCGAAGGAATAAAGAAAATTCAGCTCATAATAATAGGCCAGATACTTAATAAAAAATGGCAAAAAATTGTTAATATTTTAATTCTTTGTGCGTCCAAAAACTCTAACAGCTAATCGAGTCATTTCAAACTTGAAATTTATCAAAAATACAACTTCCAACTGATTAAAAAAATTCCAGTTAAAATGTTTTTCAAAAGACCGATTCTTAAACAAAGAATATTCATATTTTCGATAACCTGGTCTTTATCATCATGGTTCTACAGTTATATATCCACCCATAATAGTGAGTGAATGAATTAGTGTTATTAATAACAACATTAATTTTTGTTTAAATAACATCGAATCAATAATTAATAATAATAATATCAATGGATTACAGTTCAGTAGCATCAACATAACATTACACTACACTGAACATCAGACAGAAAATTTAGGAAAGAATTATAATATGAATTCATGGATTTGTCGTATCTACTGAATGCCGGCTAGGGAAGTAGTAGTGGCTGGCTGGACATGCTTCTTCTGCACATAGAGCACCGGTTGTTTATAGTGAATCACGATAGCCTCTGATGTTTGAAGTATGCAGTACCTCGATGTTTTTGGCAATTTATTTGGTATCCGGTAGATGATAGAGAAGGATTCTTCAATGCTGGCTAGCTTTGTGACCAGTTTGGGCGAGGTGGTCTAATATCGAACTGTTGGTGATGGTTTTTCACTACACCTTTACTTAGCTATACTGCATGAGCAGATAGTGAAACGTAGCTTCAAAGATGTATTTGAATTCATAGACAAAATCAAAGATATTAATATCAAGGATAAAACCATGATATCTTTGGATATAACACTTTTATTCATAAATGTACCTCTAGTAGAAACAGTGAACGAGTGTATACCCAGTCGATAAATATTGACATCCCGGTGGAAATCCTAAAAGAATTGTTATTAAGGTGTACCATGAATGTACGTTTGAAATTTGATGGCACATTTTACAGACAAGTAAGTTGGGTGGTTCACATTTTGGCGGATTTCTTTTTAAGCAGATTAGAAAATGGACCCTTGAACAACCACCTTATCAGAAAATTCTCAATACTATTACCGGTATTATATGGATGACACTTTCACTCTTTGTGATAATGATTCGGGTAGGAGCACAATAATAACTCAATTCAATGAAGTACATTCTGCTGTGAAATTCACGTGCAAAGAGGAACCCAAACTTTTTTTGACTACAGCTTGATTCCACACCGTGGTTTTCGGTACAGGTATAAAACTTTCAGCATGGATAGCGGTAGCCCAAAGTTTTGCAGGCCGACCATAGATATCAGGTGTGCGTCGGCAGAGGATAAAACCCCGGACCATGTACATGGTCAGCGAGAGTCCTAACCACTGTGCCACCGACGCCTTCCTAGATGTCCTTCTTACCGACGGTAGTATAAAGAGAAATTTGCAGAGGAAGAACACATAGACAGGACAATATACACATTTTCACAGTATCGTTCCTTTCCAGTACAAAAGAAATTTAGTAAGGACACTCATCAACAGGGTCGGAGCTATGTGCTCAGAAGAGGTAACTGAAGATGAACTGGGTACTGTATTCGATACCTCGATTTAAAATAGCTATCCAGACAAATTCATCAGGAAACATATGACTAAGAAAGTTGAAAAAGACTATTGAATATCTGCGAACAAGAAGCGTTTATACATACGGCTGCAATTCAAGGACGATATACCTAGCGAGATAATTATGAAGAAGTTAAGAAGTTCAGTTAAAAGAAGTAATGGTGGTAAACTAAAAGTTTTTTTACATGATTCCTCAGTTAAAAAATTAAGCACTTAGACTAGCGATTTCTAATTGTATCGACCAATTCAACTGCACCTGTGGTGGAGCCAGTTGTATTGGCCGCTGCTTTAGGAACTTGATTTTTTGTGTTCGCTCGGAAACATCTACCTGTTTGTTTAAATAAACCTGAAGTGAAAGCCATTATCAACAGTTCGATATTAGACAGCCTTGTCCAAACCGGTCACAGAGATAGCTAGCGTTGAAGAATGCTTCCCTGTCATCTACTGGGTAACAAATAAATTGCCAATAAACATCTGGGTCCTACATCCTTCAAACAGCAGAAGCTATCACGATTCGCGTGAAACAACCAGTACTTTGTGTTGAGAAGAAGCAAGTTTAGCCAGCCACTACTACTGCCCTGGCTGTCCTTCAGTGGAGACTATGACTTCATTAATTTGTATTGTAATTATCTTTTCTAATTTCTCTGTCTGGTATTCAGTGTGTATCGTTATGCTGATGCCTTTGAACTACGATCCATTGATGTTATTATTATTATTGGTTCGATGTTATTTGAACAAACATTTATGTTTTTGTTAATAACACTAATTCATTCATTCACAATTATGGATGGATGTATAACTGTAGAACCTGATGAAGAGCAGGTCGTCGAAAAAAATAACTCTTTGTTCAGTAACCATTCTTTTGTATTAAACTTTCACCACAATACCTTTTGTTGTTGTTGTTGTACTTGGACCAGACCATAATTGTATATTTGAGTGATTCTCAGCAGATGCATTCGATATAATTTTTGATTTTGTATATGTTTTAGAACGTATGCATGAAGCCTCTTCTTTTGTTGATTGATTTTCTGTTGAAATTTTGTCAATTGATAAAATAGAAGAATTTGATCTACTTATACTCGGTGTAATATTGTTCAGTGTTAAATGATCACTTTTTGTGTAATAAATAAAAAAATGTTGTGATTAATATAAATGAGTCATATTTCAAATATACTATATTCTAAAATGATTCAAATTATAAGAGTTCAGCTTTGAGTTCAAAGGACCAAGAGTATTTGGTATTATGTTATCTAGTTATTATGTATTGTCAATTTCTGGTATTCTGATTTGAGGATGTGGCTTCAGTTGCACACCTTCATCGGACTTAGTCCCCTGGCATGATTTTCAACTGACTTTGATATAAGGATAAAACGTGGGTACTGAAGTAGAGTATAATTCCATTATGGATATAATTTTGTTTTGATTAAAACATACAGTGTGCCATAAAGTAATATTTATTGATTACCACGTTTCCAGCACAAATTATCGCTGCTCATAATCATATCAAGTCACTCACACAAATTTCTTGCTTCATTTACATACATGAGTAAAAACTGATGATTAGATATTTAAATAAAAATCAATATGGGATTACGACATTAAGAAGTAATAATATCAGTGTTATTGATCAATTACACTCAGATGGGAAATAAGACGAGTGATTTTTATAGTCAAAATAAATAAGTAACTTGTTAGAATGTTGTGATATACGTGAATCGAAATGGAATTTTGAGATTATTTATTATCCTCTTCTGATTTGACTGACTGACTGACTGACTAGTGGTAATAATATCTTCCATGCATATCTCTGGTATTTGCATTGAGTCATTTCTGTCGTATTTGTTGTGTTGGGTGTAGACTCGATGAACCAGGTGGGATTCAGCAGTCAATCTATCTCTATCTCCACCTACCTATATTACTTCTTAGAATTTGAACCCTATCCCACCCTATTGTGTGGTTCCTTATTAATGCATGAAGTGCAATAGCTGAGCTTTTTTCTAGATTACTTAACTTTTCAGGGTCACCCATTCTTCCCTCAGCTAAATTCTTCTGTTCTGACAATCTGACTACCCCCGACCTACTAGTTTGACCTATGTAGTTGACCTCACTCACAGTCATTGCAAGGCGTTTTTGAAATTATATTATTTTGTCTAATTGGGTCAACTGACAGGTTCCTTTAACCTACAGAGCTTGTTCTACCTGAGTGAGTTTGTAGGTTTAAATGCCACGCTAATTCCTGCATTATTAAGAATCTAACAAGTAATGCTTCAGATGTCTCCTCCTTATATGGTATAACTGAAGATGCCTTAAATTCTCTCTTATTTATGTTTTTATTACTAGTTTCACAATTATTTTTATTTTGCTTTTAACCTTTTTTGATATTCCTAGAGTATTTTATGGGATAGTTAGTTATTCAACACCAACGCCTCTTCTATGTGTTGCATTTCACCATCTAGGTTTCTTTGACCTGAAGTTTGACCCTTTGTGTATATGAGATTTCCTTCTTATCGACTAGTAAATTTTATTTATCCTGATGTGTCTATTATTTTATTTTATTTTATTTTTGGTTACAGCTTGATTCCACACCGTATTTTTGGTACAAGTATGGAATTTTCAGCATGGATATCGGTAGCCCAAATTTCGCAGGCCGACCACTGGAATGCCAGGCAGGCTTCTAAAAATTCTCTAACATTCTTTGTGTTTCCTCAGTCTAGTACCTGAAAGGTGTCCCAGTTGAAATGATGTCCGTGGTCGTCTGTATGCAGAGTCAAACTTCGTGTCAAGGAAACAGTGAGTACCGATAGAAGTAGCCTAGAGGGTGTGAAAGCACACAGAAACAACCAATCACGTTCAAGGTCACCCTTCTAGGAGAGATGACTAATAAACTCATGGAGAAATCGAAAAGCTCACTTCATTTCAAATTGAAGTATGCTCTGAAGATGTTGATTAGTAGGGGGCAATGAAAGCTTAGCAATTAAACCATCTAGATAGTTCAGAGAACACAACTGCATCAAAATCATCCATCTGAGCTACGGATCTTCTTGATCATTTCCAAAATTATGTATTATGTAATCCAATTGTTTCAACCATATATACCTTTTAATCATGAATCGGTGGCACAGCGGCTAGGACGCTCGCCAACCATGCATATGGTCAGGAGTTCGATCCCCGGTCACCGATACACTCCTTTACCTCGCTAAGCCATAAATAATGCTGGTAAAGAGGAAAGGTTAGGCATGAGGCTAGCAACCCCATCCTGTAAAATAAAACACTGCTACAGAAACGTCAAGCCACTAGCTTGAAAAAAACCTTTTAATCGTGTGTATTAATTTTATTCGTTTACTATCACGCCCATTTGATATGTGACTAGTTATTGTTAACGAACGGATCAGTGCCACTTGACTTGTAAAATCCTTTTTGTACTATAATAAAAATGCTGTGCTTTTAAGTTAGAGTAAAGCCAGAGTGAGATAAGGATATAATTGAAAAGTAAATATTTCTTCGTTCAATCCTCTTTATTTATTATTTTACTATATTCCTTTATGGCTTTGATAGAACGTAGGACTTCGAGCTATAGCTTTGATATTTCTGTAGCAGTGGTGTTTATTTTTACGGGATGGGGTTGGTAGCTAGCCTCATGCCCAACCTTCTCTCTTTATCGGTTTTATAGCCGACTTAACGAGGTAAAGAATTGCATTGTCCGGGGATTGAACCCTGAAACCACATTAGGCGTGGTTGGCGAGCATTCTACCACTGTGCCACCTACGCATACTCAATCCTTTTACTTTTTAATAAAATCTCCTCAGATATTTAACGTCAGTTAAGGAAACTTCCAACCTCTCCTCTTTACCAGGATTATTTCTGGCTTAGCAAGGTAAAGGAAGGGGTGCGTCGGCCGGGGATCGAACCCCAGACAATGTGCATGGTCATAGGAATATATATGAAATTAATAAAGAGTTAAGAGGTGAGGAAATAGAATTAGGTCAAGTTAAAAGGACATATTCAAGTTCAAGATAACAATGAAGATCATTAAGCCCAATAATAGAATTAACAGTACATCTACCCTATCTGGTATCAAAACAAAGTTTACGAAGGAAGGTTCAATGTGATGACGAATTGTTGATTTGAACGCATAAAGGTGGTTTAAACTTTCTAATTACCAGCTGGGGCTTCCACAAACTTTAGGATACACCCCAAACACGTTTTATAGATAGATTTAAAAGATCTGTTAACGTCAATTTTATGTCGTGTCCCATCTATAATATGTTTTGCAATAGAAGAGCTAGGTCTCCTCTTCTCACCATTGATGGGTTCTGAAGATTCCATTTGTTTCTGGAGCAATTTAGGAATATGCTCTGAAACCAGCCCTTACTTGCAGAGATCGATGAGTCCTCCCTAGGTATGTGTGCCCACACGTACATTCAAAATTGGTAAATACAGTGGGATGTGACATTCTTTTTTGCATGTTCAAAAGGCTTAGATGGATGGATATATTGACTTCACATTCTCAATTATTATGATATTAACTGCAATAAAAAGTCTTTTTAACCACAGCGTTCAATTGTTGTCTAGTTATCATTAAAACAATTTTTTGAAAGCGATTTCGATTTATTTTTCAATAAATTAAAACAAAAAACTAATTATTCAATATACTTTAATATTCAATGGTTATTTACTCACAGCAATTCTGTATCGTCTTGTTTTATTAATTGCATCATATGGTTATTTGCATCGTGCTTTTCGTTCATAACTAATAAGGCATTACGTAAACGTTTAGTTTGTTCTGTTAATAAAGTAATACGGATTTCATTGGCTTGAATTTGTCCTTCTAATTCTTCATGAACAGATTTTACACCTAATTATAGAAAGTAAAAACCCTTATTTTACATAGCTAGTGCTAAATTCATTGCTGTAAACAGTAATAATAATAATAATAATGATCACTGTATTCCAAGTAGTAATGTTTCCTACAGAACCAAAAGTTCAGGGTTATACATGGTAAAACAATTTAGCTCCTTTTAAAAATAGAGAAATGAATACGTAAAAACGTTAAAAGTAATGAAACTGAAGCAATAGGAGTTAATGAGCAAGACAAGACTGTCTGTTTATTATCACCGATGATATTACCGACTGTGGCGGTCTGGATTATATGTCAAACTGTGCATGGGAATGAGAAGACAGGAATACTCTAGACCACCGATTAGAAGACTCTAGATGGTCTGGATTTCCTGGGTGGAATAGCTTTTGTCTAATGTCACACAAAATTTGAAGACTTACAGGCAAAAAATTCACAAATTGGCTGAAGAGGCTGTCAGGCAGCGAAAACATAACTCCAGGTGAACACAGAGAAGACGGAGGTGATGATGATAACCAACCAATAGCAATAAAAAAACAGCACCAGTTAGCATCAACGGGAGGGATTTGACAGTGGCCAGTCAGTATTGGAAAGGCAAGAAACACCTTCATTAACCAGTTTGGAAATCTTCTGCATTCACTCAGCTAGCATAAAGAACAAGGTAGATTCGGATTCTGTTCAACGGAAATGTCAAGTCGGTCATTCACTTCTTCTATACAGGTCAGAAACTTAAACTGTGTGTCACGGAAAGGATTTCCAACAGGCTACTGCAGACTTTTATCAACAGCTACCACCTTCGCTGGCTGGCCCCATACCGAAGATCAAATGGCCAGAAACAATAAGCAACGAGAAACTCTGGCTGGCAACAAACCAACTGGTAGCCGATGGCTCAAAAGATATATAAGAGAATTGGAGATGGATCGGGCGCAAACCACTGAGGAGACCGTCGAATGACATCGCGCACAATGCAGGCCATCGCTCGAGTGGAATACCAATGGTAAGGGACGAGTGGGTCGTTGGTGCAAGGATGATATCGAGGAGATCGTGTGACGACGGGGAGGAGGAGACGAGAGATTATGCGCACTTGTGGAGCTAGCCAGTCGAAGAGGATAGCAGAAAATAGGAGAATGTGGAGATGCGTTGCTGAAGCCTATGCTCCATTCCGAACCCTACGGAGTATTAATAAAATAAGAATAACTTGTTCTTATTTTGGTTGATGGTGACAAGCAGCGTGGGATTCAGGATGTGGATTTCGGTCTGTTTAGGACTCTTCACTGAATGTATCAGGATTTTTAGTGATTGTTGATGTTCCCACTGAGTCCTGAACGCAGCGTCGATCGTTTCCAGATTTAGTCTTATCCTCAACACAATAAGAGACACTATTTGTGTAAGGAAGTCTACCTGTTATTTGTTGAAGTGATCAGTGATACACCACAGTTTTATAATTGGATAACCAGAGCAGGTTCAAAGTAATAAGAAAAGATTATTAAACACGTGAACCAGGTTTACGTCTTGAACGAATTTAAGTATATGATCCAAACCTGGTTTTTATATATGGGTTTTAAAGCACTGTTGAAATCAACTCTAAGATCCGTTTCTGTGGTGACGTCAGACATCTTTACCACAGTTACTTGAATCATGCAGTTTTATTTGCTCCTGCAGGCAGTTAGAAATGTGTCCTGCAGCCCTGACGTCCAGAAATCGATGGATCTCTTCTCTGTATGTGTGACGTCACATACATGTAATTTAGTGAATACAGTGATATCCTGTGAGGGTTTACAGGACAACACAAATATTGGTTTTCACTATGAAAAAAAGTTTAGGTGTATAGTCAGTTCTGTTGAATGTCACTGTGAGTCCTCGTTTAGTGACCAGAGTTTGATGATAACGCTTGAACTTTATGGTTATACGACCATTTTTCTTGCGGGTGGGGCGTACCAAGAGCCGACACATCTCTGTCCAGCTTAATCAATTAACGTGAAATACACAAAACTAAACGTAATGAAAACTTAATGTCAGTAAAAAGTTTCAGCATTGTGGAATAGACTGAATAAATTATAATTATATTTCAATGGTTTACACACAATGATAAATTGTTGTTTTTGGTAATATTTTGAGCAAAATTACTGCTCGTGATCACACCAACTGTATTGGAATTTGAACAAAGCAAGAACTACAGTTTAGCAGAATAAAATGGTACCATCTTTTATTTCGTTGCCTTCTCGTCAGCTGCTTACATGGCAAAGACATTATTAAATATATCTACAACAACAATTTTAACATACTTGCACAGAGTTAAGTTTAAACAAAAATCAATCGATCAATATAATCATACACTAAAAATATATACATATATAAATATGCAATATTAACCACTATTCCGAACAATAATAATCAAACACAATGGAAACTTTTAGCATTTCACATTCGGAGGAAAGAGAGGTGAAATTATCCAGTTACCAGGGCAAAGAAAGGCTGATAACCGCTTCTTTCTGGACGCATAAATCAGGTTTCAGGCGCTTGATGGAAATGGCTTCAGCAAACTTAAGGAGAATTGAGCTATTTTGCTTATTGATAATTTTGAACGATTTCGCGTTGTCCACCTCATGACCCGTGTCGAGGAGATGCCTGGTGATGGCACTGTTTAAAGCATTTGTTCCCTTTAGACGTAAGCTTTTTGGTACATGTTCAGAAAATCGTAGATATGCCCTTCTTTCTGTCCTTCCAATGTAACTGCTCCCGCAGATACATGTAAATTTGTATACACAGTTGGAGGTAACATGAGAAGGATATCTATCGATTTTTGATTGCACCAAAGAGCAAGTTGTTCGATAGATGGGAACGAGCTTAGCTGCAGGATAGGCTATGGCTAGTGATGTACTCAGCCTTCTGTTGATCATCGCTGCAATATTCTCACCTTTATAATCAAGCTGAAGGTAGACTGGCTTTTTTTCCACTGTGATTTGTTTTACATTTGTGACTTCAGATCTTCCATACTTGTTGATGAACCTTTGAGGATACCCATTTCTCTTCAATATATTTTCAAGGAACTCAAACTCCTCCTCTAGTTTCTCTTTAGAGCATATTCTCCTCGCTCTATAGTACAAAGTTTTGACTAGACCACGTTTAAAGCTATGTGGACAAAAGCTATTAAAATGCAAGTATTGTCCTTTCCATGTGGGCTTTCGATAAATTGACTTTTGAAGACTACCGTCTTCTAGGCGTTCCATGGCTATGTCGAGGAAGTGAAACTTTCCGTCACTTTCGTGTTCCATAGTGAAGTCAATATTGGCGTGTGCACCATTGAATAATCTTAGTAAGTGTGAAGCATGACTTTTATTTTTGCACACTATAAATGTGTCATCAACATAACGACAGTAGGAAGATGTTTCGTCGATTGCATGCTTCAGCTTTGTTCTTTCAAGGTTAGACATGAATATATCTGCTAAAACAGGGCTAAGTGGACTGCCCATAGCTACACCATCTATTTGGCGGTAAAAGGTGTTGTCAAATAGGAATTGCACATCCATGGTGCACATAAGCAGTAGGCGTTTGAATTCAGACTCTGGGAGTGGGAGAAGATCGGACTGCTGACAGATGATTTCAATGGTTTCATTGACTGGAATCATTGTGAATAGGGAGGTTACATCAAATGACACCATGAAGTTATTTAGAACGTTCATGTGATTCACACTTTCAGAGAAATGAAATGAGTCTTTCACCGTGTGCACGCCTAGCCGTTGACGAATAGGTTCCAACTTCTCCGCAAGCCAACGTGCCACCTTATGTTGGGGCGAGTTGATCATCGAAAGTATGGGTCTCAGGGGACTTGTTCTTTGTGTATCTTCGGAAGGCCATACATGTGTGGCAAGCGGGACCCTCGGGTTTCAAATCATTGTACGTGTTGTTGTCAATCAATTTCTTCTTTAGAAGATCTCTCAAGGCGTTTGTGATACGTTTTTCGACTGCATCTGTCTTATCTTTCTGGCAACTGTCAACTTTAAATCTCAACGGGTCATTTAGCACAGCTTTCATCTTTGCGATGTAGTCCTCTTTGTCCATCAGCACCACACCTGAGCCCTTGTCAGGTCTCAATATAACAATTTTGTCATTATTCTTGAGAGCTTTCAATGCTCTTAGATGCTCTTCAGAAAAGACTTTGGAATATGACATTGGAGAAATGAGGTATTGATTTGCAACGTCGACGAGCTTCGATTTGAACCAGCTCCTCTTGTCATCATCAACTGGAGTGAGGTCACTCAACTGATAGAATAAGTTTTCGAATTGAACTGCGACATCAGTTCTTTCGACAAACTTATTTGGGATGTGAAAGTTAAATCCAAGAGAAAGTGCTTCCATTTCAATGCGATTTAACTTCAGACTCGACAGATTACAGATAAACTCTTCAGGATTTTCTGGGAAAACGTCACACAATTTCTCCTTTGTCAGGGATTTCGAAAGAGTTTTGTAAAAATTTTCACATGTTTTCTGTTGAAGTCCTTGGATGAAATTGATGAATTTGATCCGACATACTATACTCAAACTATTGACGACGCCATCGAAAGAACGGGCTTCAGTTCTCAATTTAGAAATCAGAGATTCTGTTGATTCAATATGTGATTTTGTAATGCGCCGGAGGTTCTTGAGAGATGGGGGTAATTTGCAAGAACGTAGTGACTTCATGAGATGACGAGGAAAGCAGTGTGACCGCAAGCAGTCATGGTAAAACTTCAAACGAGTCACCTCTCTTGATATTCTGCAACGAATTGTCACCAAACGATTCAGTGATTTAAAAGATTCGCTGGGGAGGCGTTTTTTCAGAAATTTCATACATTTATTTCCCTTAATGAATTTGAACAAAGCAAGAACTACAGTTTTAGCAGAATAAAATGGTACCATCTTTTATTTGTTTTTTATTTTATTTATTTATTTGTTTTGTTTTTAATTCACACATCTATGGTTTGTACTCATATACACATATAATTCACTTATTTCGTCCATTCTCTTTTGTACATTAAGAAATATATTTCACGTTGTTGGCAGGTGAGTCACCCTTGTCACATGTATGCAGTGTGTGACCTTAGTGAGAGGAATTCTATTATAAGTTTCTCTTTCCATTTGTTCATATTAGATTTCAGAATACAAACAGTGTATCCAGTCGATATGATGATCTTTGTCCAATGCATGTGCAGCTATAGACGAGTGTTTTTTTTTCTAAATTCTTGTAAGCTTGTGTTCCTTCCTTCCTGTTGGTTGACCTTTAGTTAGGGAGGCGTTTATGTTCATTCACTCTTATTTTGAGTGATCTGGAAGTTTGACCCACATATTTAGTTGGATACTCAGCACAAGATATCTGTTTCTAAACCACATTGTTTTTATTCATCATTTTTATTGGAACTTTTAGTTGATTTATCTTATTTTTACGAGTTGATCACGGATTGACATCAGTTAGAGAACCATTGAAAATCAAGGAGTACTGGACAGCTGTTTCATACTATTTTTTTAAAATTAGATTCATCGGTTTAAACGTGATGTGATTCCCAATATCTTCAGGTTTCTTTGAATTGCCTCTGATATACCATATTTGTTTGGATATTGTAACTGTTTTTTGCCCTCCTCCTTTTTGTCATTCTCTATTTTTACCCTCTTTTTTCTCTTCTTTATACTATCACTGATAAATTCTTTTGGGTAGCTTTTGTCGAGTAACATTTTGAATAAGACGTTTATTTTGTTTCACTGGTCATCTGATGTTGCTGTAAGTCTACGTATTCTATCTATATTCATTAAGGTCACACACTGCATACATGTAACAAGGGTGACTGATCAGCACAACTGTCAACAACCTGGAATGTAATTCTGAATACATAAAAATGAATGGACCAAAATGAAAGTGAACTGTATGTATATATGAGTACAAATCATAGAGGTGTGAATTAAAAAACGAAAACCATTCCAACACTGTTGGTGTGAATATGGGCAGATATTTTGCTAGAAATATTACCAAAAAACAAAAACTTATCATTGTGTGTAAACTACTGAAACGTAATTATACTTTAATGTAATCAAAACTGCTCACTTTCTCACTTTTTCATTATGAATGAAAAGAATTAATCTCTTTCAGTGTGCTGTTTTCTAGCATGACTAAATACCAAAGACCAGTCATTCAAAAAAACGTCAAAAAACACACAATGCTTCTTTCTGTCATGCTGTTAAATAAAGATACTGTGCTGATTTAAAAACCATGCCTTCTTAAAATATGGGATATTCACTTTCTGTCTAACTGAACCTTGTTTCTATTAACACAAAATGTGCTTACGGTTTTCTTCACGTCTGACTTGCTCATTTTATTCAGGAAGGAAGGTCTTATGTCAACAAGGTTTAAATTATGATCCTATAAGATGCATTTAGTACTATGAAGACAGCGTTACAAAAATTAAAGGAGAATCTCCAGTTCCCTGAAGAAGACTTTTCCTGCAGTAACTCTAAAAGTGATATTCTCTAACCGCCCACTGCTTCAGAGCAATGTGTAGGACAGACTCCTGCATATGACCACTTCAGTGTGCATATATATATCAGTTCACCTGTTCATGCGGGGCTACGTATATATAGGTCGTTCTATGCGGGTCTTGTCAAAACGTGTTAGAGAACATTATCCAGCATGACTGCATAGAGGAGACACCGGTTCAATCAGAAGCGCCACAACTGAACACCTCGTCAGCATACCTGTCACAGCATCTCAACTGATTCATCACTCAGAGTCATTTACAGAGCAAACAAAAATCTACCAAAGGCAGGGTGTTTCCGACTTTTTTGTACTGCAGAAGCCCATTTATCCCCCCTATTTTTTCCGTTTTAAAATTATTATTCTTCTAACTTGTTCCAATGCTCATTCTATTCACACCCTTAGTCGTCAAAAAATATTTTCTAGTCTCGTATATTTTCCAAGCCCCTTATAATCTATATTTACACCAAACTTTCATATCGAATTGAAAATTATTATGACCTTTAGTCACCTTCGTTACTCTGTGGAATTAAATAAATAATAATTTCATCTGTGTAAACTTATATAAATGCGATTGTACAGCTTTTGAGAATAAAATCGCGGAAGAGATATCTATTCTGAACTTTTTGTTCTTTTCCCTCTGATGTCCCGATGGGTATTTTCCACAATACACAAATAATTGGCAGGTGTGTAGAACCTTTAACTTCAATGGACATATTTCGCATCTCTAGAGTAGGATAAGAAGCATAACTGAGAAGTATAGTAGACAGTACACAATCAGGTATCTTATTCATGTTAAAAAATTATCTTCTTCAAGTTCCTTTGAAGTGTCATCCAGTTTTGTTTTGTTTATCTGAACGTTTTTGAATCGATTAAGTTAGTTAAACAACGGTAAAAAGAGACACTTTAATTTTCTTAACAGTCTAAAATTAAAGCAGAATTGTGAAATATCTTCAGACTTTTACTTTCTGAATCTTCGGTTGATTGATTATGTCGGACTGAAATTCTGCATCTCAATTCACATGCCTCAAAAAGAAGCGGAGGTTGACACGGCATCATTCCGATTGAGATTGGCTAAAAATGGAATCCAGGATGAACGTTTTGTCCTCCTTAGGAACTAATCATCTGATCCAGTTACCCAACGATAAATCCTTTGGGTAGGGGATTCGAGTCACAGGTATGTCCAGCTAATTGGTCCCGAAATACACTGGACTTCAGCCGCTTGATTCCAGTAGGGACGAGGATATAAGTTACTGCAAATCGAACTCGCCACAATGATTTTGTATTACGCGCCTTCAAAAGAGCTGTAGTCGTGTTAAAGGTTACGTTTGGCTGCTTTAAAAATGCCCTGTTAACTTTTTTTACACAGCTCGAATATTTGTCGTGCACAGAAACGTGTCGTGTTAGCCTTTACAATACTAACTGCAATCATCCAAAAAGAAACTAATGGAAATCACTGACTGAAGACTTATTGAAAAGATTCAATTATGACTCCTGATTTTAAATTAAGCGTCGATGGATTATTCATCAATTAAACCCGATTGGGGTAATAGCACATTTCTTCAACAACATATCGTAACCTCGAACTATTAGTTCACATGCATCGATTTCTTATGTACATGATCTTCAGTATTTTGAATTCGCGGTTACTTCTGTAAATTTCTGGTTTAATATATTAAAAATGATTCCATCACTGCATTTTAAACTTACAGTTTTCATTTCCAAACACAATTGGTCCATTTAAATCAGGATATTGAGCCATATGTAAAACATCTTCATTCAATTTATTCAACTTTTGACACAATTCATTATTTTCCAATTTCGCTTGTTCAAGATTCATTTGAATTTGACTTTTAACGCTCTCATTTTCAGTCGATTTATTCTTTAAGATATTCAAATATAGAAAGATGATATCAGCGAAAATAGATAACTTACCTTGATCTCTTGTATTGATTTCTCCAACTTTTGTATTTTACTTTTATAATTATTTATCTCAGAGTTCAGATTTTCCATCGAATTATTATTATCTTTCATTTGTTCTTCTAATTTTTCATTGATGTCAGTTAGTTCATTTATTCGTGATAAAAGTTTTTCATGTTTCTTAGTGAGCATCTACGATGGCAAAATTGAGAATCGGAAAGTATGCTACTCAATACTTATTAAGTAGTATAAAACATTTTAGTAAAACAGTAAATTTTTTCAAGTGTTGGTTTGTAGGGATTTGATTGGTTTCAGGATTTCACCAGGAGCTGACATTAGTTAGTGAACCACTGGAAAACCTGGGAGTACTGGACAGCTGTTTTGTCAGACTAGTTTGAGACTCTTCATCAGTACGCACCCACCGGGATTTGAACCCAGGACCTTCCGGTTACAAGGCGACCTCGTATACTAATAGGCTACTGGGACCCGATTCAGTGGTCCTTGAATTCTAACTTCTGCCAATTCACGAAATAGCGCGACCCCTAGCCAATGTCTTCGCTGGCGAGTATATGTCCTCACACCCTACCTGCTGCACTCTACTGGTCACGACTTCCCACTGGACCACTGGATCGGGTCCAAGTGGCCTAATGGTATACGAGCTCGCCTTGTAACCGGAAGGTCCTGGGTTCGAATCCCGGCGGGTGCGTACTGATAAAGAGTCCCAAACTAGTGTGACGAAAAAGCTGTCCAGTACTCCCAGGTTTTTCAATGGTTCTCTAAGTAATGTCAGCTCATGATGAAATCCTGAAATAAATTTTTTGGTGCATTTCATTCAGTGAAATAAAAATACAGAGCAGAGACTACGAAATTACTTCACTTAAGGGACTAATGTAAATTATTAAGGAGTACTGAACAGTTTTTGTCCTACTCTGAGTCTCTTCAGACCTACCGAAACATGACCCTACAAAGGATCGAATAGACAAGCTTCAGATTTCGAAGAACACCCATTGGTCATTCACCTACTGGGGCGGGGTACAATTTATTTATTATTATTGGTCCCTTGGGTTCTAAGTGAGACATAGGGCTTCAACAACATATCTTCAATTTGCTATATTTTCTGTTGTTCTCTTCACCTGGATCCATAATCACCCATAATCTCTCATCACCTTATCAGACAATCTCCTCCATGTTACCGTTGGACGACCCACTAGTCGTTTCTGTTTCAAATTACACTCAAACAGTGGCCTAATGTACGATATTACCCAACAGTCTTACCAGCATCTGTCCAATCCAGCTCCATTTTGTTTGGCATACTTGCTGAGCAATAGATTGTTAGTCGGTTTGTTTCCATAGACTTTTGTTGTTGATTCTTCCTGGCCAGCCAGCCACCGACGGCAGCTGTTGATAAAAGTCTGCAACCTGTTGGAAATCCTCTTCGTGACGAACGGTCAGTGCAAGTTTATGACCCACATAGAAGAGCTGACTGACTGACTTCACATCTGTGTCGAAGAGAATCCGAATCTTTTGAGTGAGTGCAGAAGATTTCCAAAGGGGTTTCAAATTATGAAGGAGTATTCTGCCTTTCCGATTCTGTCTGACTGCCGTTTACATCTTCATCCGTTCCAACTGCCTGTGGTTGAAACCGTCCTTCCTGGCGAGATAAATGAAGGAAGTAACTTCTGTGAAATTTCTCCCGTTGATGGTGATTGGTGCTGATTGTTGTTGTTTTTGTTGTTGCTGTTGGTGATTGGATGGTTGCCTTTATCACCTTTGTTTTCCCTATGTTAGCCTGCAGTACTGTCTTCGCCGACTAGCGATTTACTGCACAACTCTAGCCACTATATTTGTACTCACACCCAACTTGATGAACTCCTCTGTTCATTGCTTCTCAGTCATATCAATTACTGGAGAGCAACAACTTAATTACCAATGATTGGTTTTCATGAGTCTGATTGATTATGAGAACCAGTGACGTTCACATATACCCTTTGAATACCTTAGAGAAAAGTACTTTATATTTCATTCTGACATTCTAGTTACAAAGTTGATCATTTAAAATCATTAAAATTAGGATGAATGCCATTTGGTAAAATCAATAAAGAGGAGTGACAACTATTCAACAACTATAGAATCAGGTGATGGCAAGCAGATGGCTTAATTGATTCAAACAAACTAATTTAGCTATTCAACAGATCAGTGTGTGTAATATAGACAGAAATAACTTTGTACCTGGTAATTTCGAAAACTAGGGACAAGGTGTTTATTAGAATAGTGTACAAATGGGGCATAGAAGATGTACAATCAATATCAAGCTAATTTTAGAAGCTTAATATTGAGGTTGCTCAGAAATACACAGATTGTAGGCAATCCAATCGATCAACCAATTAAAATCACAAAAAAATGACACTTCATTCAAATTTCAAGTCAACAAGATGATCGTTGAGGATATACGACATACAGAATAACTAATTCTCGGTGGTCTAATCGTAGAATTCTCACCAGCCTCACACGTAGTTGGTCAAATTACTTGTAAATGTCGCTATAACTGGTAGTAAGCCAGTGGGGCGTTCGAAGTGCATACAGGAGTAAGACAAGCTGGCTGCCTGCCTATTATCACCACGGATGATATTGTTAATTGTGGTGGGCTGGATCATGCGTTAGACCGTTGGGAGCGAGGAGTCAGGAATACGCTGGATCACCGATAAAAAGACTCTAGAAATTCTGGATTTCGTGCGTGGTTGACTTATGTTTAGTGTCATACAAACTCGAAGACTTGCAAGCGAAAACTAGCAGTGAAAACAGGACTGCAGGTGAACACAGAGAAGACGGAGGTGATGAAGATAATCACCATCATCCGGAGAGATTTAACAGAGGTTGCCTTCTTCACTTATCTACGAGGCATCAATTCAACTACAGGCAGACAGCACGGATGAAGATATCAAAGTCACGATTCGCCTTCATCAACCTGAAGCCAATTTGGAATTTTTCTGCACTCCTCCTCAGCCACCATAAATAACAAGATTCTCATTTTCAACATCAATGTCAAATCAGTTCTTCTAAACGGGTCATAAACTTGCACTGCATGTCACTCATGAAAAGGATTTCCAACGGGTTACGGACTTCCATCAGTAGCTGCCTTCTCTTACTGGCTCTATACTGAAGATCAAATGGCCAGAAAGAATTAGTAACAAGAAAATCTGCAGTGGAACAAACCAACCGAGTAGGAGCCGATCGCCCAACAAAAATGGATGGATCGAGCATACATTGAGGTGGCCGCCGAATGACATCGCACGCCAGACCATCGCTCAAGTGGGATCCAAATGGGAAGTGACGAGTTGGTCGTTGGTGCTAAGATGACATGGAGGGGATCGTGTGAGGAAGAGATAAGGGAGTTTGGTCAATCGTGGTCCCAGGTGAAGAGGACGCCAGAAAACAGAACAAAGTAGAGATGTGTAGTTGAAGCCCTACGTTCCACTCGGAACGCAAGGGAATAATAATTATAATAAGCCAGATAAAGGAGGAAGGTTGGGTGCTGAAAAAAGCAAGCTTCTGATTGAATTACCAGTATAGAATGCAACAGAAGAATGCTACACTTTAGAGAAGCACACATAAAATTAGCGAAAATTATGCGATGAAACTACAGAGAATGTATATATGCAGTGGAGAGGGTAAGTAGACAAGGATTATAGAGGGTTATGAAAGTCCTGAAAATAAGATTTAGAAAGAACATCTTTCCCACACCACTAAGATTCTCCAGCCATGGATTCTCAATAACCCGAAAACAAGGCAGTCTACAGCAAGCTGACAGTGGATGACTTCCAACCAACTATCCGTTTCTCTTTTTCATTCTTATATGATCTCAGCTGACCTTGTTTCGCTGTGGAAGGTCATGATATGGCATCCGTGAAGTGAAATTATCTGTGAAGATGTTTTCTAGAAGGAGAAAATGAAAACTTTACACTTTAACCTTTCAGCTCAGAGAATACATCAACGCTGACAGCATACTAACTTCATACTACAAGGTACAAATCATAACTAGACGAGGTAACTTTTCAGTGTAATTCACTCCTCACAGATTATCGACCTTGAAGGATTTTAGAGGACAAACCAAAGAAATATTGAATAAAGAATATTCTTTTCAACGTCTTCCTTGTCTGGCATTCATTTCAAAAGACGTTTATTGTCTCTCTGTACAACCACTCCAATTTTACATTCGGGAATTAAAGATAAACAAGATTAACTTCGCTTTCTGTACGTGTATCTACCAGTTTAAGTGCTCCTGTGTAGCTAGTTACATTGAGCGTACAATTAGGCGTGTCCGTCATTAGATTTCTCAACGTCATCTTGTTTGGCCAAGCAAGGGACAGGATTTCATCATGAGCTGAAATCAGTTAGAGAACTATCGGAAAACCTGTAGGGAGTACTGGACGGCTGTTTCGTCTTAGTTTGGGACTCTTCAGCAGTAAGCACTCACTGGAGTTCGAACCCTGCACCTTCTGGTTACAAGGCGTGCTGGCGGACCATTAAGCCACTGAAACCCTATCCAATAGCCAGCCCATAAATGCCGACTCCTGTCAGTCCACGAAATAGCGCGATCGTCAGCCAATGTCTTCTCTGGCAACCATTTATCTTCATACCCGATCTGTTTCACCCTACTCGATAAAAAAAGTCTATTGATAGTTGCCTTTAACAAGATATTTAAAGTCGTCAACCGTATCCTGAATAATCCTAATTCTGCCTTACGAATTCGTCTTTTACATACGACTGAAGGCCTCCAGACCCATAAGAAGGATCCATATTTATTTGTTTATAAGAAATTTGTAAAAGCGCTTCCCCTGCCATGACCATCATACTTTATCGTAAAAATTTGAAAATTTTGCCTACCGTCTTAGTGTTTTACAAGCTGTCATTGTTTCAACTATCTTTAACTGCTGCCTTAATTTTGTGACAGTAGAAGTCGAGAGACTTGAAAAAGTAATGTTCATTTGCAATTTGGTGTCATTATATAACCAAATTATGCACACCTCATCTTCAACGCACCCATTTGCACAGATTCCCCGTATTGTTCTACTTCTGGCCTTCCTTCACACTGTGTTTCGTTATATTCCTTTCATGTCTCCCATATATCTCCGCAAAGCTGTATCATTCGCTTTCTCTGACATCAAATCTATCTCCCATCTATTTAGTGTTTTTGTGCTGATGAACATCCCTTTATATACTACTGCTAAATCTCATCAGTAGCACATGCCACACTCGTCCCTCTATCAAATAATTTCGAAAGGAGCAGTTCCAAACTTCTTGGTTCTACCCCTTCCTGTTGTACCTAGGTCTCGGACTCCTTATCTCACTGCAGTTGGCTGACATTAATCCGAATCTGTTTATTTCCTATTTTTGGTGGTATAAACGGGACCAGGTCTCTCGATGACAGGATATGACTCTTCCCAATTCACAGGGATTTTACGCGGACCTGGCCTACATCTAATTGCGTCCTTTCTTTCTCTACAATCTACTTGACCTCCTACATCAAAGGTTCTGCATCACATCTTTTTTCTCTGTTGCAATTTCACGACGTCTTTCTTCTGTCTACGCTTTACATTCCTGACAGTTTCTTTGTGTCCCTTTCTTAGCCGTTCCCCTTCAGTTTAGTAATACACTTGTGGGCAAATTATCACATACAAATACTTAGGAATCGTATTTCCATTGATCCAAACGACTCGATATTATTTAAACAAACACGTCAATATTCTCAATAACGATTTCTCTTTAAATATTACGTATGGATATAACTGTAGTTCCTGATGAAGAAGTTATCAATGACAATATTCTTTGCTCAGTTTCCCCCTTTGTTTTAGTCTTCTTAGTGTTTAAATTAGAATTTTAGATATATTAAACAGTTTTATTTTGAAATTCGCACTGATCAAGGTGTTCAATTTACAAATATTAATTATTATTATTTTTATCAAAAAAGTTTACCGTAAATTGTGAATTCATATTTTGATTCTCCATTTCGTTGACTTTTAATTGTTTCAAGGCAGACTGATAATCTTTTGTAGTAGATTCCAGTTTCCTCTGAAGTTCTAGAATACATGAATGAATATTTGATAACGATGATGATGGAGGTGATTTTGATGGTAAATTATCGTCATTTAGTTGATCCACATCGGTATTAAGTAGCTTTTCAATTTGATCTGGATTGTGGATAAAAGGAGTCGAAAGGAAAATGGTTCACAATCCTTGAAATACGATTAGGAGAACAAAGATCTTTGGAAAAAATTGAAACCAAAACACTTTCAGGATTTTGTTATTCTGGACTCAACTAAATTTGCAGAATAGCCGATTGAACAAAGGTGTAACAATTCAAGCTGTCATTATGTAACGACAGAAGACAAAGGCCAGGCAGCAGATTGTTTATTCAGAAAATCAACAGATATTTATAGATTTTTATGTATATTATTATCAGCGTTACTGGCAGCAGAGAAGCATCGTCTTCTGATTGGTTCTTTTCCTGCCGAAGGTTTTTCTGCTATCTCTTTGTGACCGTTTCTTTGAAGGTCAGACCATATACCTGTTAACTGTATCCGCCCACGCAAAGTGTGCTGTGATTGGTTGTTGAGTTAGTCTTTGTTCTTGTTTTCTTTCTCATGACGAGGATATGCGACATAAACAGAGACGTAAATCACTGTCTACCAATTTTCGCTAGCAGACAGCTCTCACCACAATTCTATTGGATTTCGTAGGTTACCTGATATGTCTGCTTGGATTACTGGAGTCATTTAGCCTACAAAGTTTATTTCTGTGTGAATTTATGCCTCCAGATGCCATCCTAATTTTTCTTTGTTAAAAGGAGGACATTGGTTAAAGTGGAATTGAAAAATTCCGAAAATTTTGAAATATTTTTAACTGAACTCATTCAAAACTTCATTCGGAATTGAATTCGTGAGTGAATTACCAAGGTCACGTTATCATTAATCAACTGGTTGAACTCCATTGGTCAACGATCGACAGCGTTTAGCCACTTACGGTATGATGATAACACATTTTCATCTTCATAAGGTGATCAGCTGAATTCTCAAAAAAAAGCGTCTGATCTTCTTATCAGCAAGAAACTCTGAGACATACGGTGTCTCCTAAGTAGTGTCTCAGGAAAGAATTTTCCTGAAGACACTAAATGACGTCAGAGGTATTTCATAACAGAAGGGGAGACACCTGCACTGTTTCGAAGCCAATTTAGTAAGCAGTTTTCATAAATATAATTCTATATTATACATAAACTTCCTGTCGAAAACCTCTTCAATTTACAATCATTATCTTACCCAAATTGCTTTCCAATGCTTGACATTGATTTTCTAATTCTTGTATTCGCGTATCTTTAACCTTTAACGCTTTGTTTAAATCCTCGAAGTTGGTTTTAAATTTTGAATTCTCTTTTTGCGCTTTTTTATAATTCTTATTTAATTCACTCAATTCTTTAGATAATTTGTCATTGAGATTGTTATATTCATTCTTGAGAAGAGAAGAGGAAAAATCTTGTTTGAGTATACTTAGAATTCAAATTACGTTCTCAAAAACTTATATTGCTACTGTCTAGAAAAGGCGGGAATAATTTTCAAGGAACTGACACATTGAATGAGTTGAGGGTAAGGATAATTACAAGGTATTCTCGTGGTGAGTATGGCAAATGACGCAGCGGGTATTCGAGCTGTATGAAGACGTTATAGAATACGTTTAAGACGTCTAAAAGCAACATTTGAAATGATTACACTATTCAATTGGTGGATGGTGGCTAGCAGTGGAATCCAGGATGCGCATTTCGTCCTAATTGGGACTCGTCAGCTGGATGTACCTGCATTTCTCAGTGAGTGATGATCTTCCCACCGAGGCTGGAACCCAGTGCCCATAGTTTCAAACGCCAAAGCATTATCCACTAGACCACTTGAGCTGACGAGTCCCAATTAGGACGAAATGCGCATCCTGGATTCCACTGCTAGCCACCATCCACCAATTGTATACAAATCAAATCCACAGACATCGTCGAAGCATCTGCACAAGAAGCCGACATGTCAACCTGAGACCGAGCACTTCGGTCCAATCCATCGACGGGAAAATCAAAAATTCAATCCAATGATTACACTATTCCCTAAAACAAGTTATACAATTCATTATAATAAAGGTTTTTTGTATTTCCTAATGCATGAATGAAAGACAAAACGATATCACTGTTTTTACTGACGTTTCGCTATCTAATGCTGCTGCTAACAGCTTTATCAAAGCAGTGATATTAAACCAAAATTTACAAAATCCACTCAGCTTATATATATACAACAACTTTATCATCGTTCATCAGCATGGGGTCATTTTTGCGTTGTTGTCAAATTAGCCAATTGGTAAAGATAACAAAACCAGCTGTAGATGACTGTTGGATTCGATAAGTGTGTAAAATTATAAAAGCAGCGCAAAGGTATCAGTTGTTTCAAGTCTTCTTAGACGAGCACACTCTCTTTGATAGCGGATGAGAAAGAAAAAGAAGAAGAAGAAATATCAAACATTGCTGAGACGCTCAAGCAAAATAACTACCAGAGAACTTCACCAACAAAATCAACACTGACATCAAGTATGGTCGAAAAAGTATTCCAAAAACATGCACCTCAACAGTTAGTTATCAGTCATTCCATATATAGAGTGGAGACGACTTCAGAAGAGTACTCATTCAGGTTGACATCATAGTTCTCTTCAAAACAACAGACACATTGTGAAACAATCTTGTCCATATAAAAGACCAAATCCCTAAAGATTCTCTATCGAATTGTGTCTATAAAATAAAATGCTTCCTTGGAGTGTGATGCGCTATACATAGGATAAACATCACCCTAGAGAAATCAAGGTAATCAGGTGAAATGAACACCGTAGAGCCGCCTCTGTTCGACCACCGAGAAATCCAGTTAGTGAACTAGAAAAGCTTGAAGAATCATCAACCAGCCATAGGTTGTTTACACACACTATAGAATGAGGCCACAAAATTGATTTTGACAATATTGAAATAATCCAGAAAAAGCATTTCAGAAATCACAAAGAACTTCTAATATCATCAGAAGTACTTTATACCAAGTGGAATCCAAATTGTCTGAATATGAATGATGGACTGAAACAGAATTTGACCTGGATACAACACCTCTCTACCCCAGAAAGTGACGAAATCAACACAGATGTAATATGCAATTTCATTATGTAGACACACGCTCTGCTTTTCTAATTTTATACACTTATCAAATCCAACAATCTACACCGATTTTTTATCTTTACCAACTGGCCAATTTGACAACGGAAAATTGACCCCATGCCGAGGAACGATGATAAAGTTGTTATATGTATGCTGAGATTTTGTAAATTCTGGTTTAATAGTTCTGCCTTGACAAAGCTATTAGCAGCAGCATTAAATAGCGAAACTTCAGTAAAAACAGAAATATCGTTTTGTTTTTCATTGATGCATTGGGAAATACAAAAAAACTTTTATTTTGATCAATATTATGCACTGGATACCCAAATTTTTTCAAACTGTTAAATGTGAACTTGCTTTGGACTTAGATATGTTATACAATGATCATTTAAAGCTATCTAGTTTTCAGCGTAGAATTTCATACAAAAGCGCATCATTTGAGTCTATCACACTCCAGGGAATGTATAAATGCAGAGAAAATAAAATATTCATAAGAACCTTAATGAGCAGGAATGTATGGTGGAGCGAAGAAATAGTAACATGGAAAAACATAAGGGATTAATAGATCTGGCGGGTCACAAAGACTCTATGCATCTGCAACATTCAGGTAGAGTTCCAAGCTTTTAGTTCTTAGTCTCTTGAGATCCCAATTAGGCAGTCTTCACCTCCCTAAGTAAATGGCCCCTAAAACAACAACAGTTAAAGACCTCATGAACTGGTAGCATGTTTCGATTTGACCACCTCAGACTTTTTTCCAACTTGATGTTGTTTCAGCTAACATTGCTTGTCGAAAATGGTGATGAATAATATCAACTGCCTGAGGAAAGTAAAATCGTCATTGTCTGCGTCTGTTCTATCCTATAAGAGAGACAGGAACTGAAAGAGGCGGACATTTATTTTCGGAGACTTCTTTTATACTCACTCACTAAATGTAAATACAATATTATACATATGATTTGGTAACTACTTCGCTACTACGCTATACCGCCGACAATTATACACCTCATCCAACAGCTGTGAGATAATGTTGCATACCAAGTAATCCACGACGGAAAACTTACGGAATCCTCCAAAGAAGTGAAGACTGGAGTAAGACAAGGCTGACTGGCTGGCTGCCTACTATCTTCAATGATTTTCCTGATTGTAGTAGATTGGATAAGGCGACAGACAGACAACGGGCAATGAGGAAACAGGCATAAAATGGACCCACTCAAAAAACTTGGAGGTCTGGACTTCGCCGATGATGATATATGTCTTATTTCCCACAAACTGGAAGATATGCAAGTGAAAAGCAACAAGTTGGCAAAAGAAGCATCTAGAGAAGATAGGACTTCCTTCAGATGAACACAGAGAAAACAAAGGTGATGAAGATTCCTGGCCAACAGCAACAACAACTACAACAACAGATAACAGTCAGAATAAATGGGAGAAATTTGAAAGAAACAGCCTCCTTTACCTATCTACCTATCTGGGAAGCATCGTTTCATATACAGGCGGACGGAACTGACTAGGATATTAACACAAGGATTGGGAAAGCAAGACAAGCTTTCATTACTCTCAAATCTGGGGGTCAACAGTGCTCAGCATGGAAAATAAGATCCGAGTTTTCAACTCCAATGTGAAGTCAGTGCTACTTAATATTCGGATTAGAGACTTGGCCAGCGTTTCACGAAGGGCACTTCGAACAAACTACAGACCTTCATCAACAGCTAGCTGTCTTCGCTCAGTACTCAAGATCAGATGGCCAGAAAAGATCACCAACAGGGATCTCATGGAGCAAACCAACCAGGATCCGATAGTTCAACAAATAGGCAGAAAGAAATGGAGGTGGACTGGTCATACTCTGAGGAAACTCTTAAGTGACATCACTAGACAAGCCATTGCTCGGGTGGAACCCGAAAGGGAAGCGGTGAGTTGGTCTTCAGTGAGAGGGTGACTTGGAGGAGGTCATGTGAAGAGGAGATGAAAGCATGTGGTCAGACATGGAGCCAGGTAAAAACTTTAGCAGTGAACCGAACTCGATGTAGACGTGCAGCTGAAGCCCTATGTTACTCTAGGAATTAAAGGAAATAATATTAATAAATAATAATAATAATAAAACATATGTGTTGTAGTTTATTACATTCAAGCACCTAAGTTTCAAAGACATCATTAAAGCATTCTTTTTCGAAATTCTTGCTTCTCAAATGAAGCTTCGAGTTATTGAAACACATTTCTCTTGACTATGATAGCTTCACTTTAAAAATACCAAAACTTCGAAGCAATAACAAATTTGAAAGTAAGAGAGATTGTATTTTTACTTTTAAATGTGTACTTTTATTATAAGTGTTATTAGTCCTATTCCGAGTGTGAAATAAGACTTAAACAGCTCATTTTCATTCCTGTCAATTCCTTGACATCATTTTTAACCAAATCTATGACCCCTCATAAGATTTTATTTACTCTTCCCTCGATTTCTGCAATTCGTCGCTTTCCACTTGGGAGGTTGGTGTATTGTTTCGCTTGGAATTTTTCTTCATAGACTTTTAATCCACTATCGTTTCATTCTGCATAATTATTGAGCAACAGGTGCTCTGAATGTACTGAATCAATCAAAATGGAATTCAGTATCTGTGCAGTGCGTAGTAAATAGAGATGGGATGCAGGTCTTAGTGGTAGCAGGAGTCGAAACTACAACCTCCACATTACTATCCCGACAGTCTACTAGCCACATTACAAGGCATAAATCTGCTGCAACTCCGATTTTCAATTCAACCTCAATAACTCCATTATAGATAAAATTTTATTTTGATAAATCACACAGTGATACACAGTAATACTAACTGATGACCACATTTAGAGCACAAATTATTACTGCTCATAATCATATCAAGGCACTCACCCACTCACACAACTTTCTTGCTTCATTTATATACACATGAGTGGAATCGATGATTAGACATTTGAACAAAATCAATATAAGATAAAGTACATTCAGAAATAATAATCATATGAGTGTTATCAATGGAATACAATCAGATGGGAAATGAGACGAGTGTTTTTTACAGTCATAATAAGTAACTTGTTAGAATGTTTTTGATGTGTTTGATTTGAAATAGAATTTTAAGATTATTGATTATCCTCTTCTGATTTGACTGACTGACTAATGGTAATAATATCTTCCAGGCATATTTCTGGTATTTGCATTGAGTCATTTCTGTTGCATGTGTTGTGTTCGCTGTAGACTCGATGAACCAGGCAGGATTCAGTTATCAAGCACTCTCTATCTCCACCTACCTAGATTACTTTT